AAGGAAGGAAGGATGAGAGGGAGGGAGGGAGGGAGGGAGGGAGGGAGGAAAGATGGGAGGGCTGGAGGGAGGGAAGAAGGGAGGGAGGAAAGATGGGAGGGCGGGAGGGAGGGAGGGGGGAGAGTGTTTTCACCACTGTCCTGTCCGTGGGGTGAAATTTAGGGATGGGGACACACTGCTGGAAGAAGAGAAAGAAATCCATGGATAGATAGCAATCCCTTGGTCCCAGTTAATTTTCTTCTCCTTCTTCCTCACTGCCAATATATTCAATATCATAGAAGTGACATTCTGATGAAGCTGGTTGTCACCTGCCAGCAAGCTCCTCCACGTGGTTCTGCCGTCCTTTAGAAAAGCCAAGGAAAAGCATGGATAGGAAGTAGTCAAATGGAAGCCATCACCTAGACCCTAGCAACCATGCTCTTTTGCTGCTGTCTCCTTACATATAACCTGTAAAAAAAACAGTCATGAGAGATTAGAAAGAAGGAAAGTTAGGGGAAGAGATGGAGGCAGCGAGAGAGAGGAAGGAAATTCTGGAAGGAGAAAAAAATGAAATGAAACATGATTGTCACCCATTGCCTCTTTTGCAAACCACAACAACCAATAAGAGAGAACAAAAGGGAATGCCCTGCCACAGAGGCAGGGTGGGATGGGGGGATGGGGGTGGGAGGGATACTGGGATCCGTGGTGGTGGGAAATGGGCACTGGTGGAGGGATGGGTATTTGATTATTGTATAATTGAAACCCAAGCACAAAAATTTGTAAGTCTACAACTGTACCTCATGATGTCTCACTAATAAAAAATTAAAAAAAAAAAAAACCATCGAGCTTTCATTTAGACCATTTTCCGGAGCCCAGCTTGAACTGTGCGACCACATCACTCCTTCATGTGTCTCATGCACTTCCAAAATGTGTGGTTTGGGGCTAGAGCGATAGCACAGCGGGTAGGGCGTTTGCCTTGCATGCAGCCAACATGGTCGACCCGGGTTCGATTCCCAGCATCCCATATGGTCCCCCGAGCACCGCCAGGAGTGATTCCCTGAGTGCAGGAGCCAGGAGTAACCCCTGAGTATCGCCAGGTTTGACCCAAAAAGCAAAAAAAAATGTGTGGTTTGCTCATGGTCATTTCCTAGGCCACGTCAGCTATGTTGTCATTATTAGAATGAGGTTTCTTAAACTCTGAAGCAAGCTAGTATTTTTATAAGCTTTATCTTCAAGAGAGAAATGAGAACTATGTGTGAGAGATAGAAAAAAATCCTTACTCTAAGAGCATTGTTTTTCCTCCATGAAATATTAATTTCAGATCAAGTGGAATGCAGCCGAAATATTTATGATAAAATGTCTCTTTGCGAGCTCAGTTGAATAGCATTGGCAGAATCCCAGTGGAGAACAAGAGTTCTCTGGGATAATAAGAAATGTGATTTGTAGCTTTACATATTTCCAATTGTTTAAACTGCTTATGATGCCATAGGGGTATTAATTATTTTCGGATTAAGATCTGCGCTAAAATACAATATATTTATAAGATTCGTTCTTCCTAATACAATCCCCAAGAACCCAGGTGGGTTACGAGCTCAGCAGTCATCATCCTGCCTTTAATGCCTGAGCTGAACGTTTGTCCTTTGGAAATCTTAAGCTTTCTCACATCCTTAGAACCTTGCTACCCTTTTTCAGTTCTCTGAAATATGTATGTATTTGCACCGTCAAATTCATTTCATTTTTTTCATTTCATCATCCTGTTAATCGTCGATTGCCTCGAGCAGGCCCCAGTAACGTCTCTTTCATCCTAGCCCTGAGATTATATTCACGGCTCTTTAGGAGAATGAGACCCATCAATGTTACTGGTATTTGGCATATTTGGTACGCCACGGGGAGTTTGCCAGACTCTGCCCTGTGGGCAGGCTACATTCGATAGCCTGCAAGTTTGTCCAAAGTAGGAATGAGATAATAAGATGTCATAAAGAAAAGTTTTGATAAGACATCGCGCGGCCGCGAATGCGGCCGCGCGGTTCCGGGATCTGGATTTTATAGTCTCTGAGTCTTGGCCGCTGATGGGATTACACGGCGCCAGGGGTTCAGGTCCATGTATTTTCTTATTTCCCTTGAGATGTTCTTTTTGATATATGGATTGTTTAGAAGCATAATTCTTCGATTTTTAGTGTTGGATAGGTCCTTGTTATCTTTGTTAGTGATCTGTTAACTCTGCACACTCACAAATCACAAATCACAAATCATCCTGTTAATCGTCGATTGCCTCGAGCAGGTCCCAGTAACGTCTCCTTCATCCTAGCCCTGAGATTATATTCAAGGCTCTTTAGGAGAATGAGACCCATCATTGTTACTGGTATTTGGCATATTGGGTACGCCACAGGGAGTTTGCCAGACTGTGCCATGTGGGCAGTTTACATTCGGTACCGGTACCCTGCCAGTTTGTCCAAAGTAGGAATGAGATAATAAGATGTCATAAAGGATGTCGCGCGGTCCAAATCCGAGTAGGCTTGGAGATCTCGGCCCCAGAACCCACGTGACTTTGTCCCTCTGTCAGTACCTTCATGTGTGTGGAGAGTGGTCTCAGCATGGTGGTGGCTGGTCCTGGAGGTCTTTGGCTGCCGGAGCCCTGGTCGGGGTGGGGAGGAAAGCTCAACCCGCTCCCCTCCAAGGGGCTCCGGGAAGGAACACCCAGGCGCGGGGGCAGAAGACTGCACTGTTCTCGTCCGGGATCTGGATTTTATAGTCTCTGAGTCTTGGCCGCTGATGGGATTACACGGCGCCAGGGGGCCAGCTGGTGGGTGTGACCCCCGCCTACCAGAATTTGGAGGATCTGGGTGGAAGATGCTCGACTCCAATTCGAGTAGGCTTGGAGGTCTCGGCCCCGGAACCCGCGTGGCTTTGTCCCTCTGCCAGTACTTTCTTAATGTGTGCGGAGAGTGGTCTCAGCATGGTGGTGACTGGTCCTGGAGGTCTTCGGCTGCCGGAGCCCCGGTCGGGGCGGGGAGGAAAGCTCGACCCGCTCCCCTCCAAGTGGTCCCGGCGAGGGACACCCAGGCGCGGGGGCAAAAGACTGCACTGTTCTCGTCAAATTCATATCTTTAAAAAATGTACAAAGCACTTTTAAATTTTTAAATCCACAAAGTACTTAATGCATGCACCCATCAGATAGAATCACTGGGTAATCTCCCAAACTGGGGTATTTTTTGGTCAGAAGAGAGAGTGGGGCCAGGAACCCCTTTCTTCTCAGACCCATATCTTCTATACTTTGCTCCCTTCTCTGACATGGTTCTCGTTCTACCTCGAGGAGAGTGAAGTGAGCACTCTAAGGGAGCTAGGATAGAGCAGAGTTTTGTAAATTATGTCCTTTTTGGAACCCTAAGGAGTTCAGATGCTTGAGTGTGTTCGTGCAGGAGGGCTATCCTCTAAGTCCTGTGGGAACTTGATCTGCAATGAAGAAATGACATGTTCACACTCTAACTGTTGCCCATGCTGTGGAGCTAGGGTGGGGTAGGTTATGGTGCCAGGCATGCTGGCGGTTAGATGCTTTCGCCCCCACTGCAACCTTCCTGCAACATGGGCAGCATCTGACCTCCTCCAAGTCCTCTTCTGCACCCCAAGGACCTACGGTTCCTCCTGCCTGACTCTCCCCTGATTGTGAGCCACACCCAACATCCAAAGTGTTGGGAGACCCCAGAGTGTTTTTCTGCCAGTGTCTGTGTGGCAGAGCTGACATGCAGACTCTGCTCTTCAAAGTACCTTTTGCACCCTGCTCCCCACTGTGACAGGTGGCCTTTGCTTGTCACTCTCTTAGACAGCAAAAGGCATACTAGGCTTCAGTTTCATGCTAATTAGGGAGGAGAAATAAAAATAAATGCCCCAGTTCCTGTAGAAAGTGGATGTGAGGAGCTGAGATCTTCCCCATGGCCAGGCCTGCAGCCTCCCCAGCACTCTGTTCAGAGGCAAAGAGTGTCACACTGCTCAGTAATATGGGAAGTGAGGGAGGACCCCAGAAAAGAGTCCTTCCTGTCTCTGCTGGATGTACCTTAGCCAGCAGTGCCTGGAGAAACACCTGGTCATGCCAGCCCTAACCTCCACACAGGTGTTCTGGGCTTGTTCCTTTCCCTCACAGAAAAGAATCTCAGGAGGAGGCAAAATAATGAAGCAAGGGTTTTATTATCATCATCTTTATTATTATGATGATTATTATGATTATTATTGATGCTTGCATAGAAAGATGTGACAGGAGAGAAAGAGGGAAAATGTGTTCAAGAGAGAACACGGGGAGCAAAGAAACACAGAGACAAGCATGTGAGGTGTGTGTTCAAGGGAGAAAGAGTGTGAGCTTGAGCCAGCCCCAGATAGCTTTGGGGAGAAGCTTTTGTACAATTCTCCCAAATAGGTTTTTCTGGAAATTTGCATATATAAATGTTAATCTGAGTCTTGACTCAGGAATGCTTTGGAATGTTCTATCTCATGGTGATTCAATTAAAAATTTTAAAATTTTTTTAAAAAATAACCATGTCAGGGTATTCACCCTTAACTTACAATTGAATTTAGTCCGTGGGATAAGGTAGCTGGAAACTCGGGACAGAAAGAGCATAAAAAGAGATGGGGTCACTCCACACCCCAGAGCTCCGTCCAAAGGTCACCTTCAGAGGAAAGCCACAGATTTATTCTACCAACTCCTTATCCTCCCAGTGACTCCCTCACCTGCTTCAAACCCAGACATGGCATCAGTGTCCCCTCTTTGTTACTACCCCCAGATACCTCGCTGTCCCAGGGGAGTCCTTCTATCCTGCACCACATTCTTTTAGTGGTCTGTGTATGAAATTGTCCTCCTGTCTCCCAGCTGGAAGGGTGTCATCTGTTTCTTGCTGAATACCACCAGCCACTGCAAGTAATAGCCTCTCTACCTCATATCTCTGAGGGCCTGTGTATAGCCCAAATCCCATCACCAATGTAAAGACCTGATGGAATATGGCCGGGGTGTCTCTTACTAATTGATCTGGCTAATGGGGCTAATGATAGCCCCTCTGTGGGTGAGTTCAAACCTCAATAAAACACTGCACCCTGTGGGGTGTGGTCTGTAAGTGTGTCTTCCAATGTGTTTTTTTCTGGCAGTCCCAACAGGAAGGAAAAAGCATCCCTTGCCAGAATGCCATAGAGATCCCCCCCAGCAGACCAGGCCAAGCCTGGGCTAGTGTGCCTAGGTGCCCGGCAGGGAACTCAGAATTGCACACTGGGGAAAAGCAGGCTGAGGCAGTATTTGCTTAGCACTCTGGAGGCTGGGATGGATGCTGACAGAAAGAGGACAGCCTGTCAGGGAAAGCCCCCTACCCCCCCGCTCCAGAAATAAACCAATTATCCACCCAAAATGATTCTCCTCCCGTTGTTTCCTCTCTACCGATACCTGAATCCCACTTTAACAAGAAGCGACATAGCGTGTTCACCAGAATTAAAACAAGGGTGTAAGACCCGGTAACACATTTGCTTTTGTTTCAACAGGCTGAGCTGAAGATCCCTCTGATTGGCCGGGTGCCGAGAGCTATGAACAGGCAGTAAGTACCGTGACCCCCCGAAAGGCACTGGGGCCTAGTCTTGCAATCCTGCCAGTGCATCTTCCTGGGAAGGGCATTTCCAGTTTTAAGGTCAAGCCCAAAGGGCGGGGTGTGGAGCAGTGTGCAGCAATGGTTGCGAGAACCCCTTTCCCAGAAAAGGGCACTTTGTGGGAGTGCAAAACTTATTCTCCCCCAGCTAGGGTATGAGGTTGGAGGAAGAACCGGAGGACAGGACCCCCCAGCACTGAGAAGGTGGAGGTGACCCCGAGATACAGCATGCAATCTCATACACACTCCCACAACAGAGAACATGGGTGAAGCTTTCTCTCTGGGGTACAGCCCGTGGGCTGGGTGATGAAGGGACCTCAGACTTCCAGATATATAGACCTGCTCCAGAACACACAAACACACATACACACACACACACACACACACACAAACACACACTATGTTCCTGATACATTAGAATAGAAGGGGAAGAGGGAAACAAATCAGGAATCCATGCTGCAAGAAGACTTATCAATGGGAAGACTTGATTAAGAAAACTGGGCGCGCTCACTTTGAAATTCACCTTTGAATCCATGCCTTTGCTTGTGGCGCTGCTGGAAGGCCACATGGTCCCCTGCCTTGTGCAGAATGAGAGGTAGTTTATGCAAGAAAGAACTTGAGTTTTGTAGGCAGAGAAGAGGGTCAAACACCCCCCCTCCCACTTGTCATTTAGCTTCAAGAACCTTCTAGATGTTCAAGAAGAGCTTTAGTCCTGGCTGGGGGCTGGTGGGGAGGACTGGTTTTCTGTGGGAAATCTAGTCTGGAGGGAGGCTGAGGGATATTCTCGATGATACCCAGGGAGCACGGGGAGCAGGGCTGGTGGTCAGTGACAGAGGCAGTATCCCCAGCATCAGCGGACAGCATCTAGATCCAGCCACCTGACAGAACGGGGATAGGGAGGCTGGTGGTGCCAGCCTGCAGAAGAGCTGAACTGCAGAGCAGCCCCTACACAAGGCGCCCGCAACTCTTTTCCTCTTTCATCTGGCAGAGGCAGAGAGAGAGGACATGACTGGCTTCTAGGAGCATCAGCCACTGGTCCAGGTGACTCGTCTGAAATGACACAGAATGTGGTGACAGAACTGGGGCTGGTACTGCAATCCTACTTCTCTTTCAGTACCACACTTCTTTGGGGGAAACTGAGGAAAGCTGGGCTCAGAGAACTGGCAGATATGGAGTCCCAGAATAGAATGCGGCAGCTCCGTTTATTGCTAGGCAAATAGACCAAAAGTTTGTGGGTGTGGAATTAACAGCAGGGCAGAGACACTACAAACTCCCCAGAATCAGAAGTCTCAAGCCAAAAAGTCTATCATCTCTTGTGGTTCAGGGTTCTGTCACCTTGTGGGTTCTAGAAGTCTGAATTCAGCATTCCAGAGGAAAGGACAGCCCGTTCCCCTCCCCCTCCTCCCTTCTCTCTGAAGCCTTTCTCTCCTCCTCCAGATTCTAGCTCTGGCCTGGGACTCACAGAAGCAGCATCCGTCCCTGCCTCCACTTTCACAAGGCCTGCCCCTCGACTCTTCCTCCTCCCCTGCTCATCTCCCTCTCCTTTCTCTTACAGCTAATGTCAGACTTGAGGATCCTCCCCAGAAAAAAAATCTTACTTCGAAGTCCTTTCCTTAATCACCTCTGTATAAACCCTCTCTCCAAATAAAGTTGCATCCCCAGAGTAGGGATTTAGACATGGGTATATTTCAATGCTATCATTTAACCTGGATGGTTTTTTTATTCCATTTACCCACCCCTACCTTTGGTGTTTTTGTTGTTGTTGTTGTTGTTGCTTTTATTGAATCATTGTGAGGTAGTTACTAGCTTTCATGTTTGGGTTACAATCACATAATGATCAACACCCATCCCTCCTCCAGTGCACATTCCCCACCACCAATACCCCCTGTATACCCCACTTTCCCACTCTCCCCCTGCTTCCATGGCAGACAATATTTCCCATTACTCTCTCTCTAATTTGGTGTGTGTGATTTGCAATACAGACACTGAGAGGTTATCATGTTTGATCCTTTTTCTGCTTTCAGCACACATCTCCCATTCCTCAAGGTTCCTCAAATTCTTAGTAATCCCTTCTCTATTCCAGCTGCCTTCATCCCCCTTGCTCAAGAGGCAGGCTTCCAGCTATGGAGCAATCTTCCTATCCCGTGTATCTATTATCCTTAGGAATCAGCCTCATGTTATGTTGTTTTATACTCCACAAATGAGTACAGTCCTTCTATGTCTGTCCCTCTCTTTCTGACTCATTTCACTTAGCATGATATTCTCCATGTCTATCCATTTATAAGCAAAGTTCATGACTTCATCTCTCCTGACAGCTGCATAGTATTCCATTGTGTAGAGGTACCAAAGTTTCTTTAACCAGTCGTCTGGTCTAGGGCACTTGGTTTTTTTTTCCAGATTTTGGCTATCGTGAACAGTACTGCAATGAACATATAGGTACAGATGTCATTTCTACTGTGCTATTTTGCATCTTCGGGATATATTCACAGAAGTGGTATTGGGGGGGGGGGCACGTGGAAGCTCAATTATTAGTTTTTGAAGGGCTGTCCATATTGTTTTCCAGAAAGGCTGGACTAGTGGGCATTCTCACCAACAGCAAAAGAGCATCCCTTTTTCTCCAAATCCACTGGTTGCTTTCGTTTTTTTGAATATGTGCCAGTCTCTGTCGTGTGAGATGATATCTCATTGTTATTTTGATCTCCCTGATGGCTAGCGATGGGGAGCACTTTTTCAACATGCCTTTTGGCCATTTGTATTTCTTTTTTTAGGAAATTTCTGTTCATTTTTTCTCCCCATTTTTTGATAAGGTTGGAGATTTTTTTCTTCTACAATTCTACTAAAAGTAAAGTAAAAGCCCTCCCGTTGATCATCGATTTGCTCGAGCAGGCCCAGTAACGTCTCCATTGGAGACTTTGTTGTTACTGTGTCTGGCATATCGAATACCTCACGGGGAGCTTGCCAGGCTCTGCCGTTCGGGCGAGATACTCTTGGTAGCTTGCCGGGCTCTCCGAGAGGGGCAGAGGAATCGAACTCGGGTCGGCCATGTTGGCTGCGTGCAAGGCAAACGCCCTACCGCTGTGCTATCGCTCCATAGAGCGCTCCACAATTCTACTAGTATCTTGTATATCCTGAATATTTATCCCTTATTAGATGAGTATTGAGTAAATATTCTTTCCTGTTCTCTGGGCTCTTTCTGTATTTTTGTCACTGTTTATTTCTTCATCAGACAGAAGCTTCTTAGTCTGATGTAGTCCCATTTGTTTATGTTTGCTTCCACTTGCATGGCCAGTGCTGTTTCATTCGTAAAGATGTTTTTAGCTTCAATGCCATGAAGAGTTCCGCCTACATTTTCCTCTATGTACCTTATGAATTCATGTCTGATATTGGGGTCTTTAATCCACTTTGATTTTACTTTTGTGCCTGGCATTAGACAGGCCAGAGTTCATTTTTTTTGCAGGTAGCTATCCAGTTTTCTCAGCACCACTTGTTGAAGAGGCTTTCCTTGTTCCAATTCATATTTCTTGCTCCTTTGTCAAAGATTAAGTGACCATATATTTGAGGGTCTGTGACAGAATATTCAACTTCATTCCATTGGTCTGCAGGTCTGTTTCTAGTCCAGTACCATGCTGTTTTAATTACTACTGCTTTATAGTACAATTTGAAGTTGGGGAGGGTGATGCCACCCATCTTCTTTATCCCAAGGAAAGCTTTAGCTATTCGCCACCCCCACCTTTGGAGGTAATATGGAGTCTAACTATCCCAGTAACGTGCGTTGTGATTTTCCATCTATCCTAAGTCAATGGTCTCCTCTTTCTCAAAGAGAGTGCCTTCCCCTTCCTGAGAAATTTATCAGCTAGACAACTGGCTTCTCATTCAGTTGTTCAAGGGCAGTTAATGAGTTCAACTTTAGAAACACAACAGCTTGGCTGTTGGTCAGTATGTAGGCCAGGGCACAGACCAACTCATATGAGCTTCACAAGCCCCAGGTCTCTGCATGGTCTGTATTTTCATAAGAAATTGAGTGGTTTGCTAGCCAGATTAAAGTTTGAAAAGTCCTGAACTATCACAGAATTCTCTTGTAGGTAAGAAGAAATATATAGAATTATCTGCAGTAAGGTTAAGATAAGCTAAGGTTCAAGCTAAGGCTCAGATAAGGTAATCATGTATCATAAGGTTCATGAGTATTGTTGACTCTGAATATATACAACAGGCCCCCTACACATACATACATACACACACACACACACACACACACACACACTCACCTTGATTTTTCCTCTGCTGTATCTTGTGTCTTGGATAGGAGGGAGACTTACTCTGTGGGTGCCATTAGCCAAGTTAACTGAAAATGGTAGATTTTAAACCTGGATGAACATTGGAATCATCAAGGAAGTCCTAAACCAGAAAAATAAATAAATCGAGTGCTCTTTCCCAGACCAAAGAAATCAGATTGCCTAGTCAGTGTTGTAATCTTTTAATGCTCTGCTAAGTTTAATTGGAAGCTAGGATTACAAAATGCAGAGCTAAGATTTCTAATAATTGCATGACATGAAATTATTAAACAAATAGACAAATTAAAAGATTATATAGATATAAAGCATACAAATACACATGTATATCATTACATCAGTGTGGATATTTCCTGCACCAAAGTCAACTGAATTGCACCTTTGACCTTCAGTAGGGATCCAATATGTATCGGTCACAGAGAATGATGGGTCACAGAAACGCATAATGAAACAAACACATACAAGGACTGTCTAAGTTTTAGGGTCTCCTGGGAAGCCCTAACTGAGCTCATAGGATGACCTTTGCTTCAATACACATCAATGCAACCCTGGTTCCCAACGCGTTAGTTATTATTGAAGCTGACATCAAGATGTTAAGAATAGTCAGTGAGCAGATCAAAATTCAAAGGGTGCATAAAGAGCAGAGACCAGAATATTTCATAC